AGCCGCCACCTAGTCTCCAGCTACTTGTTTATGTTGTCATGAGGATCCCAATCGGGAAGTCGACATTTCTTTACACAGCTCAGACCAACAGTCAAAGATATCATACACTGATGCGACGTTGTAACCCGGCTGATTCTAACCGTTTTCTAACCCCAACCTACTTAAGCCAAGATCGCGCACAGAGACAGATGGTGACCAGGCACGCATAACACATGTCCCCACCCAGCTGAGTTGATGAAGGTTCCCAACCTCACCAACTAAATCTCCTCTCCTTTACAAAACTCTACACCTGACTTTTTGGTGTCACTCACGTGGTGGCATCACGACACAGCCTACGCTACTACAAAGGCAATGGTGGTCGAACACCAGAAGCCTTCTCAAGTCCTCTACTTTTAAGGGTCATGTTTGACGGACACTGAGTAGAACAGAGCGAACTAGACCGTTGATAAACAACTGGATAGCACGATGGCACCAGAAATAGCTTATAACGCTGAGCCAACCTTTTGTTTCCATGCTAAAATCTTGTTGAACATCGACCCGCCAGAGCTGACCCGACTTTCCAGGTAAGTGAAGTGCTCAATGCGCCCAACCATTTAACTTCCAATTGTTAGACAGGGTACCGCTTAAGACTAGTCCTGGAGCAACAGCTTGCATACGGGTGGTGAGAAATGCATCCCAAACATTCTCAACTTGCCAATCAAGGTATCCAGAAGACTCTGAATCCTGCCAGCGTCATCACCTAATGAGATTATATTATTTGAATATTCTGGATCTACCGAAAATTCTCCTGTGATCAGGTCAACTCCTGAGATGCCAGATGACGACCGAGAGAGAGAGAGAGAGAGAGGGAGAGAGAGATCTATAAGGACATCTATGACAAAAGTAAACAGGAATGGAGGGAGTAGGCATCCCTGGCGGACACCACTCTATGTACATAGCTTACCTGACAACTCACCATAGGCTCTAACACACCCAGAAGTGTTCGAGGAGAGCTTTCAAAAGTGTTGTACCTACTCGAAACCCCTTTTACTCAGAGACGCTGACATAAGACCCGTCGATCAACGTCGTAGAATGCCATCTTCAGGTTGAGAAATACAGGCGTCGATATGTCTTGTGTTCCAGAACCTGGCGGTGTGAATGTCTGGTCGACACATACACGCACAAGTCTGAAGCCTGCCTGGTTTTCTCGGGCTTGCTGTTACAGAGCTCCAGTCAGGCGTCTAATGAATACAGAACCTAGAATCTTAGGCAATATGTTCGTCAGACTGATTATTCTGTGGTTATTACAAAAGGACTGGGACAATTTATGACTGAGCTCAGCCAGACTCCTGCACACCAGTTAACACTTCAGTTAACTTGACTCAGAATCCTTGACCACGGTTCTTAAATACCTCTGAAACTAATACGTATGACCCAACTGCTCTTCCTCCTTTCAGGTTACTTACCGTTTCCTCCACATCTCTAAGTGTCAGGGGTCCTAATTTCGATGTTCTGACAATCGTCTCAGTCGCCTTCTATCAGAAGGAATCACACTCATCCTTCTCCGTCATAGTCTTAATAACAACTGACCTATTCGTCCAAGTCTCCTTGATAAGTCTAAATAACTGCCCAGTGTTACCCATCGCCGCTGTCTTTTTCATCTCATTAGCATTTGCTCACTATTACTGTTCACGGTCATTGCGTAGACTTTTTTTCAGTCTACATTTGAGTTGCGTTCACCTGCATCCAATAATTCAGAAGCTGCTGATATCCACTGGCCCTTTTTAGCCACTATTTCGGAGTCGGCTACGGTCCTCAACGCTGTTTTTACAGCAGAATGGGGATGAGACAAAGCTTCTTCTGCATGAGTGATTGTGTTCTGTTCCGATAACTGTTTAGTCAGTTTCTCACTGAAAGTAGCCTTACTGGTCACATCGTTGAGTTGCACTCTTAATGGTCTTGTTGCTAAAATGTTTCTGCGTCCATCAAGACGACTCTCTTTAGCGATGACTGATGGCAGTGTGGTCTATCTTTTTCCACCACTGGGTTAAACCTGATGGACAGCACATCAGACAATGTCTTTCTTCATGTCTCAAGTTTATAGTAGCCAGAAATGGGTTCAAGCACAATTGTAGCACGTGATCGCCGTTATCTGTTCGTTTGGGTGAGATTCCAAAAGTGCCACCTAAGTGCCTTTCCGCCTGACTCAGCCTACCCACTTGTGCACTGAAATCACCTGCAACAACAACTACGTCTGAACGTTTGACTTTTAGAAGGTTAGACAGTTTTCGGTAGAACTCATCCTTCACTCCATCCCAACTGTAGTCAGTAGATGCGTAAGTAGAGATTACAAAGAGATGACGGTGAGTTTCACCATCCTGTGTTGTTTAGCCAAACAGTGGATAGGCAACTGTCAACTGAAATTCAGTCTTGCAGTGAACTTTCTGCCTTAGTACTCAATGCTGTACTTACATCTACATGACAGTGAGAACTGGCCATCAAATCTCCAGAAACACGAAGGGTGAATGTTTCGGATTCAGCACATTGGCCAGGAGAGGTTAAGTGAATAACCACACTTAAGTCTTGTATGCATATCTTATATAGTACACATAGATGGCCTGAGTTGCTAGTTTTGGCTGGTGAAGCTTGTTGACCAATTTCTTGAAGAGTCCCGACAATGAAAACTCTTACGTGTAATTTGGAGTGCGGTTTCAAAAGACCAGGGTTGGTGTTCTGTCAGCTCAGATCGTTGTCGAGAGCTGCGTGGCTAGAAGAAACTAAAGATGATGTAGGATGGTAGACTGAAAGACATGAAAGGTCACAGGGTACGAATGTAGGCGGTGGACAGTGATCAGAGGGAGTACTGACAGAGTAGTAAGAGCGTGTGACACTTCCTGGTTGCCCACACCGTGGAAAGTTAGGTCTTCTTGAAGCATCTGAAAAAGAAGGGATAGTGCATGACCACAGAGCCTAAAAGACATCTCCTTGACGCTGGTCACATGGCAATTTAAGAAGTTTGAGACTTCGGCTTTTTGCTCTCGAATCTGACTACGAATCCCTGTCGCAGGCATCGGCATGTAATGAGGTGATGGGAGTGTGCTATTTTGGGGCTTTGCTTTTCCTAACCCCTTTGACAGTAGGGAACACAGCACCAGCATGGCACTTGATAGTCATCCACGGTTAACACCTTACTCCCATCACACCCCGTCCAGTCAGCAGTACGACTTTGCCCTCAGATGCACATCATAGGGCAGTAATTTACACCACAGTGGTAACTGCTGTTTGTCTAACCATTATCCAACAGACCTTTCTGGTATGGTAGAACTTTAAGGGAACAAGCATTACAAAAGCAGAGCCTGTTGGGTCATTGTGATATACAAACCCGACCACCCCGTCAAGGTGGCAGCTATCCAGTCGGGATGGCGAATAAAACGCCAACTAACAAATAACATTTGGGACTTTGATTTCTCACGTTTAAAATTAACTAACTAAACTGAATACAACAGACAATATTAACAAACATTTTCCCATCCACTAGCTATGATTTATAGATTGGGTTTTTATAGATGTGAATAGCAAGGGTTAAAAGTAATGAACTGATAGTAATCAAGGAAGCCGTTCGGGTTAGAAATTAGATGAAATACTTTACAGTTCAATAATTGCAACTTTTAAATGGTAAGGGATAGTACATTAATGAACGGATAGAAAAGAAAGGTCAGTAGCAATAGCCATGAAAACATGACTATTCAATTCCTTTATTTTCTTAACGGCCACATCTCTTTGTGACGTACAAAACCCTGAGGAAGCTGACACGGAATGTAGGGAAACTCCGTGTTCAAAACAGCAGGGTACACACTTTTCTTCTTAGTTCTTTGCAAGACCACAAATCATCGTCAAAATATGTACATAAACTAGCGTCTTTAGTTCTCATATTAATTTTAATGCAGGGATACAAAGTACAAACAAGGAGTAAGGATGATAAGTCTAAATCAGGAAGCAGTGAGCGTTTGTGATGCTTGAATTAAATAACTACCTTGAACAGGTTAGAGCACGACGCTTAGATATATTGCAGTGTCATCAATCTTAATGAATTAACATAGCAATAAAACAAATTTCCCGCTAGGAGGTTGAGAACCAGTAGGCCTAGTTATTAATTTTTATCCTTATCAGCAATTACCTGCAAGAGATTTATCTGCGACTTTGAGTACCCTCATGCTGTCATTCGACCTGTAACCTGTAGCTTCTAATAAGTTACCAAAGACTTGTGGAAAACGATAGGTCCCAGTAATAGGTAGATGAAAGTGTGGCTAAAGAACGTTTAAAATGACACTTAATGAGGTATTATTTTAGCGATTGGCTGTAGAAAAAAAGACTGAGAAATAACACTAGCAACCGGGTGAAATAATGACAAAATAGAAAGGGAATAGGAAATGTTGCTAGTGATCAGCAAGGTTTCGAATATAATTACACAGTTGTATTTAGTAGATAATTCCTGGTTAACCACGTCCATAATGTGATATTTCTTCATGTATATAAAAGAGGCAATAAAGTGATTCAGCATAACCGAAAAGCCTGTTTGAAGAGACTCATGTAAAGGGTCTTCAAAATTATCAGATGCAGAAAAAAAGCTGTACGACAAGTGATGGGAAACCGAAGCAGAATGAACACTTTTTAATATATATATATCTCCCCAGAGTAAACAGATAGCATAACCAGGAATGATGACTACACAAAACAGAGTATTTGATTGTCCAACCAACAGAACAGCTTCATCCTCAGATCTCACTGTAAAAAAAAAACTCAATTACACGGTGATTGATAACCGTTTTAGCTAACAGCCTTATCAGCTGACCATTCTAAGCATGTTAGAATCTTCAGAAACAAGTGAATGAAAGTAGAATACAAAGGTAGCAAATAACTAACTGCTTCTTCTCTATACAGTTCGAATGTTTATCAATTATTGACTGGTAGTAACTAACAGTATTAAACACAATGTATATACTTAAATCTATTTAACTTACTCGAATACACGGTTTCCCCAGTCTACAACACAAACCCGACTGATTTTCCAGATAGTGATTAACTAATTGTTGAATATTCACAAAAGGCAACTGTCTTGAAATATAGAAACGTTTCAAAGTGGGATCAGTACGTGAATATCTTGATCGGATACGATAGTGTTTGACTGTATTCTCTTCTCTCACTAAAATTAATAAATTAAAAATGCTAGACAAGTATATGTGGGTGAACACAGAAAGCTTTTCATATAGCCGTTAATTAGATTTTAGCATTAACAACAAAGTTATGAACATACAGTCAGGATGGAATCGAAACAGTTGAAAAATCTACAAACACACACACACACACAAGGAAATATCATATTTAAAATCAATACATGGTCCGATAAACAAATAACTTGAAGGTCAGTTGATAGGTGTTAAGGATAAGAATTTTGACAAACTATTATTACTTCAATAAAAACCAAGCAAATATGAAATAATTGCATAAACACTAAGTTTTGAAATTAGACATCTGGTGGTCAGAACTAGATTCACTTATAAACATAATAAAAACTGTCACATTTATAAATAAAACACATTCATATGATGATGAGCAATGATAATTTATGCTCGAAACGTCATCAAGTAAGTAATACTAGATCACTGTGTGTTATAAATCAAATAAACAAATCCAATATGGAATTAAATTCTACCACAGTGCCCAAGTTTTACACGTATATTACAGAGGCTAAGAAGCAAAACACTGCACTTTCCCATTCTTATCACTCCTGAAGGCACCAATAAGTCAAAGGGAGCATGAGATTGTTACCCGGGTTCCAGTTGACTAGTGCATTACCTGCCTAAATATTTAGCGCTATACGTAAGCGTGAAAGAATGCAAGAACAATTCGAGGAATATAATTTATCTCCAAGAGGTGATTCATTAAATTTACCATATTACTAGGGAAAGGTTATGTAAATAATTATCCTTGAGTTCTGCATGCTTATTTCATAAACACCGTTCATATCTATGGTTTGCGATATTAGAACCAATTAAGCAAAATAATCTGATCTATCAAATTCCATGTAGTGATTGTGATGTCAAGTACATAGGTCAAACTAGCCGATCGGGGTCAGTTAAAATAGCCAAACGTAGGAATTTAGCCAAATATAGAATAACAGACCTAAATAAGATCAATAATCTAGAAAAAAAACGGCTATTGCTATGTGTGTATTAACACACAACCACACAATGGGGTGGGATAAAGCCACTGTACTTAAGTCTAATATAATTAGGTTGAGAGAGAGATTGATTACTGAATCTTTGTTCATCGAATCAACACCCAATACATATAATAGAGATGACGCAACATCTATACCAGAGATATGATGAAAACAAGCCATATGAGGTGACGTAACTATAGAAATCAAATGTCGAAAGTAGTGTGATTACATTGATATGATTATGTGCAATGATAATTTATGCTCGAAACGTCATCAAGTAAATAATACTGTATCACTGTATGTTATAGATGAAATAAACAAATCTAATATGGAATTAAATTCTATCACAATGCCTAAATTTTACACCTGTATTAATCAAAACCACTATACAATGTCATCAGTAGACGTCCGCTTCACTTCACAATTGGGTGACTCCAAGTCACTGCCAAGGATTCATATACTAGGATGGAACATTTATCTAGTGCTCCCACGTTTCCAGTGGTTCTCCAACTGATATCAATGTATGATGAATACTACCTTGAAATCAAGAGAATCCCCCACAAACCTTTAAATTAAACTAGCCCTTTTAAACAATTGTAACAATTAAAAAATAGTGAATTATATGACTATGAAGACAACACGTGCAACGATATAAACTCAACCCAAAGACCTTTAATATAATGAACAGGCATATAGTGTTATATCGTTGACTAGTAACAGCATACACAAAAAATAATTCCTAGTCTAAGGAAAAAGCAAAATAATGCATGAAGAACAGGTCTACTTCTGGTGCAAAAAAACGCAGTGACAACTGAACCCAGGCAGTAAGCTGACAGCCGTATATGTATATCTCTTCCTCAAGTGAACTACCGTAAGCATAATTGACTTTTTAGTAATGTCAATAGTGCTTGTCTTTTTTCTATTCTTAGAAACAAATGACTACTAAAAAGCTGATTCATGCCTAATTTATGTGAGTACAACCTAAGCAACGCAGAACATTAGCTCATACTCGATAGGATAAATGCTTTTTTGACAGATAACAACACCAAAAGTACTTGGGTACTTATTTAATAAGGAATAAGTATGAAGGATAATCATGAATGACCTCATGAATTCGGTATACTGTACTGTATGACATCCAGTAGGTAGGTAGGTTATTCATATTCCGTGAGTATGAAGTTATCCAGCACCGAGTATATGCTGCACAAAACTGAAGGACTATGTTTCTATAGTTATCAAATCTAGGTCTGAAGGTAAGATCAAGTTCTACCAATCAGTAGCCCAAAGGATACTTCATATTCTCGAACTAATTCAAAGACAAGTGTGTTAGCACTCTTTTTTATGATATAATTGAATTTGTTGATGTTGCAAACAGTCTCAGTGCTTCCAATATGGCGATGATTTCATCAGATGTTAATTGCTTATTTTCTAGTTTACCACTCACAGAAACTGTATGTTTTATGTGCTACTATATAGACACAAACATCATAGATATTAGGAAATCTTGAGGTGTAGCCTAAATGTAAAATTGAGGTTTTATACAGAGATGTATCGACACAAAGATGGAATCACCAAGGGATCTCCATTACTAGTCAATTTCTTTATGACCAGCATCGAGAATGGTAACTTCAAGTCAATGATCAGCCAATTGACGTCGCACATACCTCTTATGAGATATGCTGATAACACCATCAAATATGACAATATCCCTAATACATGTGAAATGGACAGTTGATGAACTTTTACAGTCGGGACCTACTAATCAGAAAAAGTAATTCTTATTTGTTCTACATTTTTATGACACTGCAAAATTTGTTCTGAAAATTGCGTAAAAGAGGAAATAATTTTCTTGAAATCCATCTTTTTGGTAAATGGATAACTATTACGTTTCGCTGGGAAGAGTATGAGACAGAAGAGCACTTTGACAACCCCTAGCACTTTTTCGAAGAAGACATTGTTCTCGAATTTAGAATTATATATATATATATATATATATATATATATATATATATATATATATATATATATATATATATATTCACCACACAGAATATAGTCCACATAAATACTCCGACTAAACGTTAAGACCATTAATTATATAGTTATGACGATTTAGTCGCTTGGCTTCTTCATTTATATGAAGAACTATATTCAATGAGTACAATTGTCCAACTTCGTGAAATGTCAACAAATTTCAGCATATCAATGGATTATACATTATACACTGCTGAGTATAGTCATTATTCAAGTGTACGTACAATGGAGAAAAGTGTTCGACTTCGCTATAAACAACTTTTCACACAAAATGAAAACACTACACAGGTGTAAACAGATGTTCACCAGTTGTTCCACTAAGTGAAATCAAACAAATGATACGACCTTTGTAAATGCTTTACAGAAATAATTTAATGGCTCACAAGCAAAGGTGAGAAATAAATGAAATAATTAAGCACGAGAATTAAAATACAAAGATAACTGCAGTAGAGATACGCATAATGCGAGTCGATACCTAAACCATTAAGTATGTACAAAAAAGAAATGCAACCTGATTCACACTTTCTTCGCATTACACCCAATATACGCAAACGTAGTGATTAATCACATTTCCAACACTGATAAATATAGCAAATGTTAATAACAGACAAGGTGGGAACACAGATGTTATTCATTTAAAAAGGTCATAAACTATAAATGCACAAAACCAGAAAAAATGTGCAACGAAAGGAGGCACTGACACATAGGCTCGTTTTTCTTGCAGTTTCATGCCAATCTTAACAATCTTCTAAAGTATCCCAGGTATAACTTTATTATATAATGGGCAATCCAAAAAGGTTTGCTATAATAAGATAAGTAAAAACACTTGGATTTCTTCTACAGCATGTACTCTAAATTTCCACGAAAGATAAAAGACCGTCCATAACTTGCATAACCCAAAAGAGATGTGATTAATTAACGTTGACATTCAGTTCCCAGGCGATGACAGACAGACAGAATCAACATAGAACCTTTCACAAAAGAACATCAGTTTAAGATGTTACAATTCACAGTAGTATTCAAAGAACAAGTGGATCGAAAAAGAGTGACATCAAAGTAGACAAAGTTGTGCGACAAAATAAACGATTGAAGACAACGGATAGCGCAAACATTCAAACTCTACAAGATGACAAAGGGTGAATATAACTGCTCCATTGTGATCAACTTTCAGCTATGTCACCAGGAATTCTCAACTGCTGATTTCTCTTACCTCAGGGACCTCAGACAGACAGCATTAAGCTGGGGGTACTTGCGGCAGACAAGCTCTGGAGCACCATATCACATTTGATAGATGTGAGATGCATAAGAAATAATAGTACCATTCAAGATACATCATATTTCACCAAACAGAACTTCACCTAAGGTCTCTTAAAAATGGTAAATAAGATGACTCTTCAGACAATTAGGATCAATAATTAGAGGGATCACTTGATACCATAAGCAATGACAAGCAGGACGATAGCGTAGTTCCCACGCATGCACACGAAAACTGCTTATTTAAGTAACACTGAGTTGTGATCAACATGTGAATTTCGCGTTATACTCTCACTGTGTTAACTTTGAATTCAGTGCGAAATTCAGCTGCGAATCACGAGTAACTCCAATGTTTACCCTAGCAAAAACTAGCATAAAGAATCAGGCTACTTTACTTCGGCTCAAAAGTTAGCTTCTTTATATATATATATAAGAACAGATGTATACGAAAATGCATGGTTACCGTCACACGAAAAGCAGACAGACAGGATACATAAAAAAGTGAAACTGTCTGTCTATATTTAAATGTCAAAAGTCTGAAGTTAAGCGCTGACTGAAAAAACTAAGGGTGTTAACCAATTGCACACTATATATGAATAGAGGAACATTAGTGATTGACTGAAAGTAATGGGTAGGTTAAAACCACTCATCCAAGGTAAAACTATGCGTAAAAAGTCTTAACAAATTATTTT